ATGCCGCCTTCCTGTAAGCCTAGAAGTTTGACAATGGCATTTGGAACGTCGAGCACGATTCCACTGACGTTCCAAATGCCATTGTTAAACTTCTAGGCTTACAGGAAGGCGGCACTAAATGTCCGACATACACGTTTTCGCGATGAAAATGTCAACTGCAACCTCTCTATTAACCATCCATTATCTTGACTGCTGGAATATTGAGTATTTTTATATGTTTTTATCATAAATGCAAAGTTTTTAATTTTTAATGCTTATGATTGGATTTATTTATTAATTGTTAATTGAAAATAGTGTTTCTTGGTTGTTTAGTATTTAAGAGTTTCTGTCAGTTTAAAAATTTATATACAGTTGACCCCCCTATAATTACGGTCCCTATAATTACGATTCCTATAAAACTACGAAAAAATATACGTATTTTGGAAATGTTGAGTCAGATTAGTGTAGAATCGATTAATTTTATGGAAGAAAACCTTTCAATCAGCCGTAGTCCGTAAACTTGACACATGTCGGGCTGTGATTGGAACGACTTGTAAGAAATCGGATTCCTAATAAATNGAATCGTATACATTTTCGCCAATATGGAATTTCCCAAATCTTGTTCCCGAAATTAAAAGAGGACAGATATAAACTTACACATAAGCAACATTTATGTACTGTATTTAAATTCAGTCTCGAAAAAACAAGTAGGCATTTTAAAGCTAATGATCTTTTGTGTGCTTTGTCATGTAAAACCTTAACATCTATGTTTCGTTCGCAGATGTGCAAGTAGCCTATTTATTTTATTTATTTATGTCTTTTGTGTAACGCAACGAAATGCTATGCGTTTGACTCGCTCTGTAGAACAGCATCAAATTGCGATTCACATATTGCTTTTAACGCGAAAATTACAGCAAAATCAATCGCAGGGATAAATACAAACTGCAGAAATATCTCGGATATATACTGTTTATAATAGTTTTCGATGCAACGAGCTACTAACTTATGAGCGCGAGAGCTGAAACGTCATTCGCTTGATTTTCTATTGTTGCAATAATATAATTTCAACAATTGTCGTAGCGAGTTGTTTGTTGTCGGATGCAAATTTTTCGAAAGCGTATTTTCTGCGATAAAATGAGTGGATTAAGTTTAAATTACTTTTGTATATGCTTAATTATATCAATTAGCTTACAGCATGTCTATAATGTAAATATAAACAATGTTTTTAATATCACGATACAAAACAGTTTAAAACACGAAAGAAGTTTGATATAATAAATTACAATCAGTATCGTTGCTGCATTATCTTTTTCGATATAATGTTAAAAGAAGGGAGTGCTGTTAATAACAGTTAAGATATAACTCAAACCCTTGATTGCCTTCAAGGAGAATGAATAGATTTTTGTATTAATATTAATGCATATGTACTAAATAGCAAAATATGGAAATAATCAATTAATTAAATTAATACCTAACTAAATTCTTTTTAATTTCCTCAAGAACTTACCTCACTGAGGCAGTGGTGTACCGTGGGTGTCAGCCGCCCGGGGCGGACCTTCCCTACCGCCCCCCTACGGTACGCCACTGCACTGAGGATTATTTATAAACTCTCACAAACGTTTTCAACCTGTTCTACAGGCCAGCTTCAGGTTTTATAAAATTATGGAACATTGATAACTGATCTTTTCGAATATAACAATTTAGAACAGATTTAATAAAATATAAAAATATTTGGAATAACGAGCAATTTGAATTTAAAGCACAAAATATTGTAATGCATATATAATTTAAAATAATAAAATATTTATCTATACACAATTTAACAATAGTAAAATATAATCAGATGAAAAAGAAAAATTACATACTTGACAACTGTTGTTGTTCGTATGGACATTATGTAATATCCAATTTCAACTATATATTTTCACACCGTACGTAATACTGTGGCATCTTTATAGTTCATACATCTGCCAGAGAGGTTACTTTTATAAATTTAAACTTTTTCCAAATTCGTCTCTAATGTCGTTGAGTGTACCAGTTTTATAATGCTAGCTTCCTCCCATTCTACCACTAATCCTTTGCTTTGCGCCATTCTAGGCAAAGCCGTGCAATATGTCATATTTGTCAATGTTATAATTGTGCTCTTTCTGTGACTCCTGTGTATTCTTTCTCCAAACTCAATTGTTCGTTTTTTACGGATTTTGTATAATGCAGCCTGCTCTGATTTTTGACTTTATCATTTCTTATAAAGCTATAAATAATGTTTTGTGAGTTTTTGTAAGAACCAACCGAGTCTTTGTAAGAATAAAGTACGTCTTCTGAAGAGAAATTATAATAGAATTTATATAGCGCATATTTCGACAATTCTACATGTTACTGTGTGCATAGAATTAAGGAACTAATAATTTATATTGTATATTTCGATCCTACAGTAAAAACAACGAACGTTAACTGAAATTAATTATTTTTAAATCTTCTGAAACCGTGTTGTCTTATTTCTTTGATTCACTGACACAAAGTGTGTTTCTATTTCAACACTTTGCGATATTCCACCTTTATTCAGTTGATGGTGATCATCAAAGCAAAGATCACCATCAACTGAATAAAGATGGAATATCGCCAAGTGTTGAAATAGAAACACACTTTGTGTTAGTGAATCAAATCAATAAAATTAATTAATAATTTATTTATTTATTTATTATGCAGTAACTGTCAAATATTTTGAAATAAACATTTATTAACTACAAATAATAAGAAAGACAACATTTAAATTAAGAGAATATATAATAAATTTCTATTTAATACTTAAATTTGCTTTATCTGTTTGTTCATAACACATCCAACGTTGAACATATTTTATGCGAATAATAAACGATTTTCTTTCTGGATCATATTCAATATGCTTTTAATAAATGTCGTCTTAGATATGCTTATAAAGGGGATATGTAAAAGATAATGAATGCCATCTAAAAGTAGTCCCCACTTCTCAAATGACATATCCTCATATCTCTCAATTAGTGTTACTATAAATATTGTAATAAATTTTATAATTTCCAACAAAGAACATTTCTAATACATAAGCCTCTTCTAAATTTTGCTAAATATGGATAAAATTAATATATTTTAGCTGTTATCAAGAACTTGTTTGCTGGAATTTTGTATATAATTTGAAGCTTTTTCATTTGCTTCTTAATCAGATATAATTATAGTATTAGTTTGTTAGAAAATAAATTAATAATAATTATAAAATATTTGTTCACAGGTTTTCAGTGCTTTTATATTGAAAGATATTCGTCATTTGGAAATGACTATTACGTTATGTATGCTTATCAGGTGAGTGTAAATATAATAGTGTAAATAATACTTAAATGAACTGTACACGTAAATTGCTTGTTAAGGAATCCAAAAATAATGATAAAACAAGCAATTTGATACCAAGTTTGCTTTAGTTTTTAAATTATATTAATATTTATTGTAATAACGATCCAATGGAAATTTCAAAAACATTTAAGAATTTCCAAATATATAAGAATAACAAACAAACCAGATAAAATCAATTTCTCTAATATCAATAACAAGTACGGTATCATCCAAAAACAAACGAACTTGAAATATTTATTTCAGAAATTAGAATTTTATATTATTTGGAAATCTAATGTATGTTACATTTAAGTAATTAGGATATTGAGTTTTAATTTTTAGTCAGTTTCAGAATCTTAAGATATTTTTAAAAACACTGAAAAAGTTAGGTGTTTATTGAATTAATAGGTATTTAAATGAAATATTATACAAGATATACAAAACAAACTACTAATTATTGTGAACGTATGAGTTTAGGATAAAAGTAACGAACAAAGAAATTCAAATTAGCTAATGACTTTCTACGAATTTTCGTTTAAATTTAAAACTTTGATTAACCAAAAAGCAACTGTTGTAAATACTGTTCCTATATCTGACACTTACTTATAGACATTTTAAAACTCGTCTTTACATATCGTAATACAAGCAATGAACAACACAGAATAATGCTCTGTAAACCATAATCTGCGAAAAAAAAATTGAGTGTTGTATAATACTGTATTAAATGTTATGTGTAATGAGAATTACTTAAGAAATTGAAGGGGAAAAATATATCCGAAACGCATATCCCAATATGAAGGAATACTTCTTCTTGACTGCCATTTCAAAAAGAAGAAAAACCTACTGCATAAATTTCTACACGNATTACAGTAATTCTTAACTTGAAGCTCCAAGGGGTGGGGGAAAAACTTTGAGTTACAGAACAATAGAGCCAATTCTGAATAATTTGTATTTTTACCTTTCTTGCATTATATAAAGAATCTTTGATAGTTTTTTTTAAACAGCCTATGTAACACCTTTCAGCAAAATGTTCAATGTAACTAATGGAATTGGACAGTTTTGCAGGTATATCTTGTTGAGATAAAGCAATAGGTTCTCTTGCTTTGGACTGGAACATTGTCTGCAAATGGTTGTTGACAGTAAATACAACTGTCTGAAAATTTCATGGAAATCTGATAATTAGGAACACTTTAGATGGAATAAATATTAAAATTAGAGTCTGAGAAGTTGAAAGTAACATAAATCAGTGTTGGGAACCACAAAAACTTTCGACAGGAGAAAATTTGAGTTAAGGAAATTCAAGCTGGAGATGTTAAGTTCCTTTGCTATTTATTCCATTGAGACCTACCAAGTGCTTCATTTTCTTTGAGTTAGAGAAGTTTTACTATATACAGTAATATATAACTCTGATAATCAAACTAAAATTATCTTTGTTACTAATGTAAAATATACTTATAAATAATTGATTATTTTTGAAATATTTATAATCTTAAAATTTAACAGAATAAATATTTTAGTCTATTTTTGTTTAAATTTTAAACAGTTTTTGTTCATTTAAAATTTGTCTTAATAGAAAAGTTTATATATATTCAAATTAATGTACTTTGTTATCTGATTTAGTTTTAAAATGTACACATTTTCATTGTAATATTTTAATGTAGATGAAGCAATGGCAAAAGGAAGCAAAGTAATTCAGAGCCAACTGGAAAAAGAAATGTAAGATGTAATTTGTTACTTTGTTATTCATATTTCAGTAAACTTTTATTATTATATATGCCTATAATTGTTCAAAATTATAAATAATAATGTTTATTGCTGGATTTAAAATATAAAAATTTTATATTTCAGAAATACATTGCGTATTACACGAAGTGCATCTCTCGATTTAACATCCGAAGTTGCCAACAATAACACTTTTTTGGGAAAGAAGGGGAAAGATTTTGAATTTGGCGATTTAAAGCCAATTCGTGTTGAATTTATGGAAAGTAGTGCATGGAGCGAGGAAGAATCAAGCAATATATCAGACATTATCAATTGGCTGGCAAAAATTGCATAAAAGACTTTCGTTCGGTTATGCTTTTCAGAAATAAACTGTTTGGTTCACATATTTAAATTATTTTCTACGTGTATTTTGCTTTTTAATATTTTGAAGCCATACTTAAATGCAATAACAACAGATTTTGATATAAAAAAAAATATAGTTTATATGTATTAATAAACATATTTTTCTATTTTTTCTCGTCATTTATGTAATTTCTGTAATTAATTACATCTAATGTAAAATAGTTTTTATTGCAGTAAAATAACTTAAATAAGTACATGCTGTAAACTGTATAGGTTTAATTTTATATAACGTTTATGTATTAAATTAACTTGTGATCCACGTTAATGTTTTTAATTGCGAAGGAAACACAAGACTGGTGAAATAAAGACGACTGTTTGAATCTATATTCTATAATCACTAAAAATCGAAACATTAGTGAAGACTGTTAATAATAATAGCTAACAAAGACTGCAACAACACAGAACAACGTGTCGTTTCTGAATGATTCCGTAAAACAGTTGTCCGTATCTGCATCCCAAAGACACCTGCTACCAATTTTCACACCTTCTCCACGCATTTCTCCAATTATAACTTGAACGACCGTCTTATAGCGTTTGTCTTCTCCTAGTTCTTTAATTTTGTTACGAACTTTTTCGGAAATGATTCTAGTCCAAGAAGAGACATCACTTCTCGAGTAATCTTTATCTCCTAAATGATCACTCAAAATTACCTGAATACATTCTCTCACGGCAGAAGATTGGATTCTTTTTTCAAAACTTGGATGGATTGTATAAGTATTTGAAGACGACATACTTATTAAAATTTCAACGCGAAAAGAATTGGAAATAACATACTATTAGCATCAGCGACCAGGTCACCATTTAAACATTCCAGCGGCGTTAAAAACAATGGAACTAGAGCGCCGATTACGGAATCTAATCGAACTACATAAAACACCAAAAAAAAAGAAAATAAATATTTTTTATGTTTCAATTTCTTAAGAACAAGTTTAAATTCTTGCTGAGTTTAATCTTTATCGTATTAATATAATTTACTCAATTTGGGTACTAAGAGAGTTTTTTAATCGATAATTATACACATTCCCAAGCCCACAGTGGGGAGGACCAAGGTCTTAGATTTATAATCTAAGACCTTGGGGGAGGACTGGGCCTGATAAATCTGGGAGATCCTCCATTAATTATGGAGATTGCTCGTTCGGACTTCATCTCGGGTGCTTCAAGTCAGAAAGCTAATAACCTGCAGGAAATACCTAATACAGATACGAATGTTCATCACATAAATACACGATTTTCACGACTGCAATTTGCAGAGCAAATAATAAATGAAATAGTAAAAATGCTCTGAAAACAATATTAAACTAATGTTTAATCGTAAATATCAGTAGTTACATTATTATTCATATTGGCTGAATATTTCGCCAAATTAAGAAATTCGAAATACATAAAAAATATACAAGCTGATCCTCGACTTACGAACACGATTGGTTCTCCTGGAGTGTTATAAATCGAGGAACGCCTGCACTACATAATATATAACCGCGCATAAGAACTGTAGATAAATAACGTCCACACTGGTAAGAAAGAAAACTAAGCGCGCATATGATGTACGGTACCATATACACGCTTTCTAACAAATATGAAAAAACGAAGCACGAATTTTAAAAAATGAAGCGCGCTCTATAGTTGATTTAAAAAACGCGATTAAAAGAAACAAAACAGTAAATATAAGCAAATTGCCAAGATATGATTGCTTTACTCTCTAGATATGCACAGATTTTCTTTTTTACTAAGTAATTCACAAATATTATATAAAAATTTTCAGTGATTACTGTCTGTTTATATTTGTATAACATTAATAATAAAGACGACATAAACTTCCAAATTTATTCCGATGTAGAATTTCGAAAATAAAAATTTACCTATAGCAATAGTAGTATTATTAATGGTTTCATTCAACAGAAGTTACATTTGATGTTATAATTACTAACGCAGAAGCTACTGCGGGTCGGAACTAAATCAAATTAGTTTTGAACATTTTACAACGATATTTTAAAAATTTATATTTTTGTTAGAGTTCATAATTATTTGTTTTATTAATAATTATTCGATACTTCCGGTATTGCATGTCTAAAATGTAAATATTAAAAAAAAAACCATCCTACAAATCTATTTTAGTATACAGTCGACCCCCTATAACACTGTTGATAATTCCGTTTTATATGAATTCCATGTTGTATGACCATTGTTATGTGTATCACGAAATATCGAGAAGATCAAATCAAAGGAAGAATTGGGTGTTCAGATTACATGGAAGTCTATATTATCCTCAGAGTCTGAGTTAAGCAAGAATAATTTTGAGCAGGCTCATCAAAAAGCTAAGAACAGAAAGACAAATTTATATATTTTATATAAATAAAACCGACAACGGACCTCTAGTCTGTCTAGTTCAACAGACTAAGCAATTAAGACGGATCAGATCCAGAACGGAACTGGATTTTCCACCTGTAGTCTCTATTAAAGATGCGCTTGTATGTGGTAGTAGCCCCAAGTCTCCATTCGTGCACTATGGTGATTGCGTCTCGATAGCTATAAGGGTGCGGGAGATATGGGCTTGAAAGTGGTTGAAAGTGTAAGATTTTCTATTTCGATTTTAAAAGTTTTCGAATTCGAATTCGTATTCGAATTGGTTCGGTTATAGAACGATTGTAAACGTTTCAGAAAATTGATCAAATTGAAAATTGTTCATTTTACTGGACGTAAAAATTCTCTAATTAGTCTGGAAACGAGGGACCTAATTCTTGCATTCTGTGAAAACGGGTAAAGATTGGCTATAATGTAATTATCTTAATCTTCACTATCGTTACTTTTTGCCCACAAATAAAAACCCAGCGAAGCGGGTCCTTGCAGCTAGATTCTAGATTACTTAAAAAAACAGTCTTTTATATATAAAAAACAAAAACTATATTACATACAAATGTACGAACAAATAAAAACTCAGCGAAGCGGGTCTTTGCACCTAGTAAATAAATAAAAATAAAATAAATAATATTGGAAATAAACAAAATAAAGTTGGTGTTTACTCGAAAAACAAGAAGAGAAATATTAATAGTCCAGCTGAGAGCCACAGTCCGTTTTATATGAAACGACCTGTATCATTGGTTTTCTTATTTTCATGCTGTCGCCGAAAAACACATTTTACGAATGCAACAAATGCGTCCGAGTAACATTAGTAATAGATATGAATTTCGTTAGTAAATGAAAAGAACTCTTTGAATGCTTTGCGAACAGAAAGTACTCAAACCAAACACTTACATGTGACATTGGTAGTGTCTTCAGGTAATAATGAATGCATTTAATTAGAGATGTCTCTCAGCTTCCAAATAAACAAAGAAATAATTTCAAATACTAGCGTCAATCGTTTTCTAAACCTAACTGATAGTGTCGAAATCATAATATTATTAAGATTTTAAATATTTACTTAGTTATAATTAGTTCATGCGAATCGTATACATTTTCGCCAATATGGAATTTCCCAAATCTTGTTCCCGAAATTAAAAGAGGACAGATATAAACTTACACATAAGCAACATTTATGTACTGTATTTAAATTCAGTCTCGAAAAAACAAGTAGGCATTTTAAAGCTAATGATCTTTTGTGTGCTTTGTCATGTAAAACCTTAACATCTATGTTTCGTTCGCAGATGTGCAAGTAGCCTATTTATTTTATTTATTTATGTCTTTTGTGTAACGCAACGAAATGCTATGCGTTTGACTCGCTCTGTAGAACAGCATCAAATTGCGATTCACATATTGCTTTTAACGCGAAAATTACAGCAAAATCAATCGCAGGGATAAATACAAACTGCAGAAATATCTCGGATATATACTGTTTATAATAGTTTTCGATGCAACGAGCTACTAACTTATGAGCGCGAGAGCTGAAACGTCATTCGCTTGATTTTCTATTGTTGCAATAATATAATTTCAACAATTGTCGTAGCGAGTTGTTTGTTGTCGGATGCAAATTTTTCGAAAGCGTATTTTCTGCGATAAAATGAGTGGATTAAGTTTAAATTACTTTTGTATATGCTTAATTATATCAATTAGCTTACAGCATGTCTATAATGTAAATATAAACAATGTTTTTAATATCACGATACAAAACAGTTTAAAACACGAAAGAAGTTTGATATAATAAATTACAATCAGTATCGTTGCTGCATTATCTTTTTCGATATAATGTTAAAAGAAGGGAGTGCTGTTAATAACAGTTAAGATATAACTCAAACCCTTGATTGCCTTCAAGGAGAATGAATAGATTTTTGTATTAATATTAATGCATATGTACTAAATAGCAAAATATGGAAATAATCAATTAATTAAATTAATACCTAACTAAATTCTTTTTAATTTCCTCAAGAACTTACCTCACTGAGGCAGTGGTGTACCGTGGGTGTCAGCCGCCCGGGGCGGACCTTCCCTACCGCCCCCCTACGGTACGCCACTGCACTGAGGATTATTTATAAACTCTCACAAACGTTTTCAACCTGTTCTACAGGCCAGCTTCAGGTTTTATAAAATTATGGAACATTGATAACTGATCTTTTCGAATATAACAATTTAGAACAGATTTAATAAAATATAAAAATATTTGGAATAACGAGCAATTTGAATTTAAAGCACAAAATATTGTAATGCATATATAATTTAAAATAATAAAATATTTATCTATACACAATTTAACAATAGTAAAATATAATCAGATGAAAAAGAAAAATTACATACTTGACAACTGTTGTTGTTCGTATGGACATTATGTAATATCCAATTTCAACTATATATTTTCACACCGTACGTAATACTGTGGCATCTTTATAGTTCATACATCTGCCAGAGAGGTTACTTTTATAAATTTAAACTTTTTCCAAATTCGTCTCTAATGTCGTTGAGTGTACCAGTTTTATAATGCTAGCTTCCTCCCATTCTACCACTAATCCTTTGCTTTGCGCCATTCTAGGCAAAGCCGTGCAATATGTCATATTTGTCAATGTTATAATTGTGCTCTTTCTGTGACTCCTGTGTATTCTTTCTCCAAACTCAATTGTTCGTTTTTTACGGATTTTGTATAATGCAGCCTGCTCTGATTTTTGACTTTATCATTTCTTATAAAGCTATAAATAATGTTTTGTGAGTTTTTGTAAGAACCAACCGAGTCTTTGTAAGAATAAAGTACGTCTTCTGAAGAGAAATTATAATAGAATTTATATAGCGCATATTTCGACAATTCTACATGTTACTGTGTGCATAGAATTAAGGAACTAATAATTTATATTGTATATTTCGATCCTACAGTAAAAACAACGAACGTTAACTGAAATTAATTATTTTTAAATCTTCTGAAACCGTGTTGTCTTATTTCTTTGATTCACTGACACAAAGTGTGTTTCTATTTCAACACTTTGCGATATTCCACCTTTATTCAGTTGATGGTGATCATCAAAGCAAAGATCACCATCAACTGAATAAAGATGGAATATCGCCAAGTGTTGAAATAGAAACACACTTTGTGTTAGTGAATCAAATCAATAAAATTAATTAATAATTTATTTATTTATTTATTATGCAGTAACTGTCAAATATTTTGAAATAAACATTTATTAACTACAAATAATAAGAAAGACAACATTTAAATTAAGAGAATATATAATAAATTTCTATTTAATACTTAAATTTGCTTTATCTGTTTGTTCATAACACATCCAACGTTGAACATATTTTATGCGAATAATAAACGATTTTCTTTCTGGATCATATTCAATATGCTTTTAATAAATGTCGTCTTAGATATGCTTATAAAGGGGATATGTAAAAGATAATGAATGCCATCTAAAAGTAGTCCCCACTTCTCAAATGACATATCCTCATATCTCTCAATTAGTGTTACTATAAATATTGTAATAAATTTTATAATTTCCAACAAAGAACATTTCTAATACATAAGCCTCTTCTAAATTTTGCTAAATATGGATAAAATTAATATATTTTAGCTGTTATCAAGAACTTGTTTGCTGGAATTTTGTATATAATTTGAAGCTTTTTCATTTGCTTCTTAATCAGATATAATTATAGTATTAGTTTGTTAGAAAATAAATTAATAATAATTATAAAATATTTGTTCACAGGTTTTCAGTGCTTTTATATTGAAAGATATTCGTCATTTGGAAATGACTATTACGTTATGTATGCTTATCAGGTGAGTGTAAATATAATAGTGTAAATAATACTTAAATGAACTGTACACGTAAATTGCTTGTTAAGGAATCCAAAAATAATGATAAAACAAGCAATTTGATACCAAGTTTGCTTTAGTTTTTAAATTATATTAATATTTATTGTAATAACGATCCAATGGAAATTTCAAAAACATTTAAGAATTTCCAAATATATAAGAATAACAAACAAACCAGATAAAATCAATTTCTCTAATATCAATAACAAGTACGGTATCATCCAAAAACAAACGAACTTGAAATATTTATTTCAGAAATTAGAATTTTATATTATTTGGAAATCTAATGTATGTTACATTTAAGTAATTAGGATATTGAGTTTTAATTTTTAGTCAGTTTCAGAATCTTAAGATATTTTTAAAAACACTGAAAAAGTTAGGTGTTTATTGAATTAATAGGTATTTAAATGAAATATTATACAAGATATACAAAACAAACTACTAATTATTGTGAACGTATGAGTTTAGGATAAAAGTAACGAACAAAGAAATTCAAATTAGCTAATGACTTTCTACGAATTTTCGTTTAAATTTAAAACTTTGATTAACCAAAAAGCAACTGTTGTAAATACTGTTCCTATATCTGACACTTACTTATAGACATTTTAAAACTCGTCTTTACATATCGTAATACAAGCAATGAACAACACAGAATAATGCTCTGTAAACCATAATCTGCGAAAAAAAAATTGAGTGTTGTATAATACTGTATTAAATGTTATGTGTAATGAGAATTACTTAAGAAATTGAAGGGGCAAAATATATCCGAAACGCATATCCCAATATGAAGGAATACTTCTTCTTGACTGCCATTTCAAAAAGAAGAAAAACCTACTGCATAAATTTCTACACGTTAATTCTTTAACATTTATATAAATCTACATTATATTACGAAAAAAGTTTATTGTAAATAAATTCCTAAAAAGATTTTATTTTATTGAATTGAAATGCTTCTTTTGAATATTATCATTATTTTATATTTGTTTGTAAACAAATAGTTGACATTGTTAGATTACCTACACTTAAAATTAAAGATACTAGTTACATTTAAGTTTTTATTATTAACCAATTCCGTGCTTATCATTTCAGTATACATTTCCATTTCCACAATATAATCTGTGGACTGGAATGCCCGAATATGGGCCGACGACAGACTTTGCACAAAGTGGAATGTCGTCAGAGTTTCAGCAATATGAACCTCAAGAAAATGAATTTGTATATTGGCCACAACCAGAAATGTCTGATTATTGGCCAACTCCAGAAACAAATGTATATGGGCCACAACCAAATACATATGACTATTGGCCTGAACAAGAAATTATTTCTGAAACGCAATCTAACACAAATGAATACAGACAACCTCCAGAAATAAATGGATATGAGCCGGAAGAATACACAAATGAGTATTGGCCAAATCCAGAAAGAAGTGGATATGAACCGGAACAATACGCAAACGAGTACTGGCCAAATCCAGAAATAAGTGGATATGGGCCGGTAGAATACACTAATGAGTATTGGCCAAATCCAGAAATAAGTAAATATGGCCCGGTAGAATACACAAATGAGTATTGGCCAAATCCAGAAATAAGTGGATATGGACCTGGAGAATATACAAATGAATATTGGCCAAATTCAGAAATAAGTGGATATGGGCCGGCAGAGTACAGAAATGAATATTGGCCTCCTGCAGAAATAAGTGGATATGGGCCGGAACAAAACAGAAATGAATATTGGCCAAATCCAGAAATAAGTGCATATGGGCCTGTAGAATATACAAATGAATATTGGCCAAATTCAGAAATAAATAGATATGGGCCGGAACAAAACAGAAATGAATATTGGCCTCCTGCAGAAATAAGTGATTATGGGCCGGAACAAAACAGAAATGAATATTGGCCTCCTGCAGAAATAAATGATTATGGGCCGGAACAAAACAGAAATGAATATTGGCCTCCTGCAGAAATAAACGTATATGAACATCCTCCAGCATTATTTGACACCAACAGAAGTGCATCAACATAGTCCGGTGCCAGAATTATTCGATTATGAACAGCTGCCATTTGAAGTTTCCACAAATGAATCCTCTGGTCTTAATTCTTCGAAAGAAGTAAAACCAAACGCGAACCTGTCATCAGAAACTTTTGAATTTCCATCAGACTTCAATGATCAGCACCTTAACGGTAAATTTTAGTATTTTGATACAAACATATTAATGTAAACATACATACATGAACAGTTTTATTTCATATAACTGTTCATAGAGCTAATGATAATAACATGAAACCGAGGCTGCATTTATACGGTCGTTGCTAAGGGTGCAAGGTAATTGAGCCCAAATCTATGTGAAAAATTTTAGTGCATAGAAAATAGACTTAAATAATTAAGAGTAGATTATGAAAGAAACACTGTGAAAAAACGATAGCGTAGTACAGTACCAAAAACAGGTATTGAGAATTTAGTGAGCCGCTTCTACTTTATTGTGCCCATTCAAATAGGCCTGAGTACAACTATCGTTGACTGTGCAGTCAGCTTTTGAAAAGATTATGAAAGTTAAATCACAACTATAGATTAAACATTAAAGTTTCAGTGTTTAATATATAAATTTAATTTAAATTTTTCTATCTTTTATTCTTTTTAGTCATTGATCAGAGTGTTATTGTGTATTTATTCCATTTTCTAAATCATATATATCTAACTAAAAATCATACATAAATACCAAGGGAATGAGAGTCTTTAATGGAGACTAAAAGTGTTGCGATTTTCTTTCTTGTCTAAATTCATTGAACTCGTCCATTTAGTAGACTTTATTTATTTGATTTTTTGAAATGTTCTTTTGGTTTAAAGTAAATAATGATTAAATTACGTATTCAATTTCAATGTGAAATAAAAACAGAAATTATTCTTATTAGATTTTTACATACAGAAATTATGCAAAGCGCAGATACTAAATAGCTATATGACAGTGTGTCTGAGCATTACAATCTATTCCTATTAGTATTAATTGAGCATACGCTTTCTTAATGTTTAAGCTTGGCATTTCTTCATACAAGAAATTGTAAGCATTGTGTCGACTCCTTTTTAGTTATGAAAGATTATTTTCATTTAACTCTTCTTTCTGTGATTATTACAATAAGGAATAAACTCGATGCATGAAATTTTGAGAATTTAACTTAAAAGTATTCAGATATTAATAGCTTTTCGTTGATAAAGTAGGATACGGACATCAAGTTGAAGATAACAATAGATGTCAATTGTAAAATTAGAATTTTTAGAGCAAATGGTTTTATAATGCGTGTGAGATTAATATTTAAAATAGATGTTTATCTTTTTTTCTTGATTTTATTAATAAATTATTTTTAGTTTTTTGTGTTATGCGCTAATAAACAAGCAATCATTTTATTTGAACATTTCATATTCGATCATGAAAATTATCGCTGAAGTTAGATTCGCGATTATTATTTATTTGCACCTAATTGATTTACAGATAAAATACAAATTTTTATGCTTTTCATTCATTCGACAAATTTTAAGCAAAAGGTAATGAAATGTTTACAATAATGGTAATGATATGTATATATATATCAGAATAACAATATATTATATATGATATATTACTATATGTATAGAAATGATAAAGATATATGTTTGATAAAATCTGATTGATTATTCTTTAAAATTTGCCGAATGTATATATAGTGGAACCCC